ACCTGTGACTTGGGTGAATTTGTCCTCCTTCTGTCAACCTCCGGGCTTGGCCTTGGAGCGGCCTGGGGTCTGGTCGAAGCTCGGCACAGGAAGCAGCACCAAAAATCTTTATCTGGCAAGTCCAGGCAGCCTGCTGGAGGACGTCGAGGACTTGGGGAAGCCACGTCCCCGACCCTCTCCATTCCCTACCCGGGGGTCCGGAATAGCCATGAGCCTCCCCCAGACAGTCTAGAAACGCGGCTGCGCCTATCTGCCGAGAGGCAGGGCGCGCCCGGGTGGGTGGAGCGTAATCCCGGGGCTAGGTGTGCGCTGGGCGTCCTACCGCCAGAGGGAGCCCAGCCTGTGCACCCGCTGGAGGGGCGGCAACAAGAGCTCGAAGGGTGCACAGGTTCTCTCTGGCAAGGCCTGCTCAGCTCAGAGGTGAATGCTCGCTCAGCCCGTCGCTAGGGCGACTTTAGTTCAGCCTCTGGGGAAGTCAGGGGTTAAGGCAGAGAGTGAGGCTCTGGGGCTGACTTCCGTTTTGGGAGCGACAGGGAGAAGGCTGGGTATAGGAGGTCTGGAATCCAGTAGGCGTTCATTCAATATTTGCTAGCTGAGAAGCCCAGAGACAAATCTAACGAACCGCCAGCTGGAAACAGGTCCACTCATTGGGATGCTTAGCCCTGAGTCGCTACAGCTGTGTTTAGGGGAGGTGAGGAGGGAGCCCCTTTGCTTCAGAGCACCAGATAGGCCTGGGGATGTCCCTGCTCAGTACCCCTGGTGGCCTACCATTTCTACCTAGGGACCCAGCAACATGGCTTGCACTGAGACTTGTTCAGCGGCTCATCCCTGGCCGGTTGAGCAGAGCCTCTGGACTGAGGAAAGTACAGTTCCTTCCCTGGGATTGTGATCCAGCGCTGGGCCCATGTGGTGCTCCAGTGGGTCAGTGTCACCTGAGTTCAAGAGGACCAGAGAATGGGGCTCAAGAAGCAGGTCCCAAGACACCGGGAAGCAGCTGGGTGCATGGAAGTGACAGCCACAGCTGACCAGGTCCAATACAGGGAAAAGGAAATTGCAGTTCAAAGGAAAATAGAATGAGTGGAAACTGAAGGGCAAGGGCTTAGGATTCCTGACCTTACACAACTGAAGGAAAACTGGTTCCAGTCCATGCTCTGCCCTCACTAGCTGTGTGATCTAGGGGAAGTCACTGCACTTCTCTGAACCCGTTGCATGCTTTTGTTGGCGCACTGTGAGATGCGGCGGGATTGTGAGTGCTTAGCCCTGTGCTTGGTGTGCCTGACACGGGTGTTCTCCTAGCTGTCCTGTCCAGATGTGGTCATAAAGGAGCCTTGCTTCCCAGAGCAGAGGAAATGTGAAACCCTCTGGCAGGGATGGTCTTGGTTGGCCCTGGCAGAGGAGACCTAAAAATGTGCAGGCTTTATTCAGCATGTCGGCCTTCACAACTGCACTGTATCTTTCTTAAAAACTGGAGGTTTTTCCTAACGCCAAGGAAGAATGAATGTGGCTGAATGCATGGGCGTAGTTTAAGGACATTACTTCAACTAATCTCCACAACATCCCTGAAAACAAAGAAACATGCACAAGAGAAGCAAAGCACCTAACTCAAAGTCACAAAGCGCAGAAGCCAATATGACCAGAGCCTGTGCTCTTCCTCTCCAGTGAAGGGCGTCTGAACAACTCCCTGTCGGTCAAACCCAGCCCCAAAGCATCCAGTACGACTGAAAAACGCTATGACATGTCCTGCAGTCCAGGCAGGTACTTATGCCAAGGGCAGGTTGAAAAACTTCCTGGATGCGCCTTCAGAAAGTCAGTGCCAGAATTACTGAATAGGTGGGAAGGCGTGGACTAAGCAGGGGCTTTGGACACCTGGCAGAGCATCCTTGCAGGTGTGCCGGTTCCTCAGGTGCCCCTGAACTGGGTTTCAGGTTCCTGGTGCCTCTCTCTATCCCTGTGTGGGAAGAGGGGCCGACTCTCCAGGCTTCCTTTCTCTTCTGGAAAGCCAGATAAGGAGAAATGCCAGGTGTCCATTAAAGAAAGAACTTCCCCAGCTCCACATGAGTCTCTGTGCCCAGCCTTCCCGATTCCCCGGACCCATATTCGAGGTCTCCCTGCGTCCCTCAAAGCGCCAGCTCCCTCCCAGGTAGATGTCAACCAGGATGTGGGTGCTGGAGCTCAGAAGGGGTGCAGGCCGCTGGGGGCCTGGTGCTAGCAGCGCCGACCCTACGTCCTTTCTGGGAGCAGAAGGCTTGAGAAGAGGGGAAGCTTTTGAGCATGGGATGGAAGTCTTCTAGGAACAAAGCTGTCAGGGACATTACCAGGAAGGAGAAAAAAATTTGACCTTGACTGCCCAGAAGGGAGCCCCTGCCTTAAACTGGGGCAGTTTCGGCGCTGGATAACAGGGGGCAGTGCTGCGCAGCGAATGTGGCTGGGCTCTCGCCCGCGGCCAGGGCGGCACACGCACCAGCTCGCCATCTGTCTTTCTCAGATACGCACCGAAGTTTCCTTCCTCCCGGAGCGATCCCGACCCTACCGGCCCCTCGCCCCACAGCACGCCAAAGCGAGCGCCGTCCTCTGTGCACGTCGCGATCACTGCGCGCACAGCCGACTGGCATTGCTCCGTAAAGGCAGCGGCCACCGCGTTCGTGGGCCACCACTGCCTTGGTCCTACAGAGGACGCGTAAAGTGAGGTGGCGAGTGAGTGCCCCCGTCGAGTTTTTGAAGGCTGTAGGCGCAAGGGTAGGGCTACAACAAGGATGAGGCTTGAGGAATCTTTCTCTGCCTGGGCTGGAAGTCCGTTCCTCGAACGCAAAAGGAAGTGATCGGTTTGGCTGCCTGCATTCGATGCCTCCCGATGTTCCCGGGGAAGGTCTGGTGCAGGGAGGCCCACCTGCGGCCGAATGGGGGCCATCCCAGAAGGAAAGGAGGTAGTTAGGGGTGACCTGTCTGCCCAAGACCCCACCTCAGGTCCACCCCGCCTCAACACTATTGGCGCTGTTTGGGAGACGGCCTTCTTTCTAGTTCGGAGGACTCTGTGTCCAGATTTAAACCCGCAGAATTAGTGAGTAGATGGACCTGGAATCTGAGAGCGCCAGTCAAGCAGCCGGGAGAGAGACCGAGCCCTCCTGGCCATGGCGCGTTATGAGCCCAGGGAGCCTGGGGAAACAGAAACTGGACCTGGTCCTCTTTGGCCTTCTTCTGTCGAGATTTTATTTTTCTTTCTTTTCTTTTTTTCTTCTAGTGGCTGCTTTGCAATAAATAAAATAAAGAAAGGCAGCTACAAGCAGGTGTGTGAATGCTAGTGGCTGCTTGTTCTTTGAAGAATTTACTTTAAAATTGCTTTCTGTGAGCACAGAGGAAGAACTTATAAACCACCGTTATGTAATTTGAAACCATCAATAGCCCCTCTTTATTGTGAGAATTCAAGGTAATGATTTTGTCGCTGTCTAATTTCATCCCAGTGTACACCGTCGCTTTTATAGCCTTTCAAAGGTAAGTGAAAGGCGTCAATCTGGGGCCCTTTTGTGGCCGATTAACAGTTTAAACTGGTTTTCTAACCCTGTCACAACCATTGGGATGATAAACAGGATTTCTGCAAGTCTGTAAATAGATCGTTTTTTATAAAAACTCGAACAATTCTGATCTCCTCTGGCAAAAAAAATAAAACACAGGTCTCCCAGGTTGTGGTGTCTCTCACCTCCGAAAAAAGATGGTTACAAATGAGTTCTCAAGAGCTGTTTGTGTCCTGTTTGTTGTTGTTGTTGTTAGGCCTATTATTGCCATAATCTTAGGAGAAAGTGAACAAGCTGACGACACAGGAAAATCAATGCACTTGTGGGGACCGCACTGACTCTCCCTTATTGTAGGAAATGTCCTCCCATTAATCACTGACGAAGCTTAGCGCTGCTGCCTTCTTTGACACAGATCTATCTGTCCAAGCAGAAATATTCAATTTACTGCAATCCTTCTGCAGAAGATGTTTTCTGTGGACGCTGCTGTACCCACTGTGGAAGAATCCACGCAAGTGAAGGCAAACTAGATAGATACCAAAGAAGAAAAACCCGGCCTTCACCTTTTATTCCCTCTGGGCCGCTGAGAAACAGTTGATGGTTTCTGAAAATAGACGCAAAAGGACAAACTAGACTATTTAAAACTTTTTTTAAAAAATGATAGGTTTAGGCCCAGTCTACTGGAAGCATCTTCGCTGGCATCGCGGTGTGTTCCGACTGCAACAGAAACCTTTAACTCCTGCGGGTCGCACACCAGCCCCCCCCCCACCCCTGCTCCCCGAGGGTTACCCTGGGGTGCGGGCGCCACTTCTCTCTTCGAAAGGAGGGGCAAAGCGAAAGAGAAATTAAGAGCCGAGGTGGCACCTTCCCAGGCCCAGCCTGAGCGGCGGCCTGCACCGGCTGGGCGCGGGGCACCCCAGGGCCTAGAGCGGCCCCAGAGGCTCCTAGAGCGCCGCGGGGCGGGAAAGCTCGGGTGGGTTTTGATTTCAGTCCCCTGCTGCGCGGGGTCCCCGAGGCTGGGGCCCGGGCCTGGGGGTGCGGGGGGAGAGGAGCCGGCGCCCTCGGCAGGGCCGGGGAGCAGCAGCCGCGAGGGCCACGCCGGGCCTGCTCCCCACAGCCCGAGGCCCGGCCGGGCGCCCAGAGCGGCTGCAGGCGGGTGGGACCTCGGTGCCGTCGGCACGCGGGAGTCAAGCTCGGGGCCCTCGGGCCCTGGGAGCCGAGAGCGCCGCGACCCGGGCCCGGGCCACCGCCCTTGCTGCTGTGGCCCCGGTAAAGCACCGTGAGGCCGCGCAGCTGCGTTTCTCGCTCCGCAGCCCCCGCGAGAGCGAGGAGCCGAGCCGACTGGCGCCCGCGCTCCCGCCTCCAGGCCGCGGCCCGGCCTGCTCCGCCGCGCTCGCGGAACTCCGGGGGGCGCTGTCTCCTCCCGCCCGCGGTCGGCGCCGCGGGTGCCGCGCGCGCACCCACCCCGCCCCGGGCCCGCGTTCCGGCGCGGCTCCGTGCGCTCGGGTGCGGATTCCGGGCCTCGCCGGCCGAGGGAGTCGGGCAGGGCCCCGCGGCTGCTACCCCTGGGAGGGGAGCAGTGACCAAGTTTCCCGGCTGAGCCGAGGGACCTCGCCCGGCCGCGGGCCGCTTGTCCCCAGCTCTCCCGAGCCGGCCGGGTCCCGCCCCACCTCTTCGCGTCCTCCGCCTGGCTCTGCTCTCCGCCTCCAGCGTTTCCTCTCCCTCCCAGGGTCCCCACCCTCCTGGTTCTCTCGCGCGCCCATCTCCTTCCCGACCCCTTCCCACCCACCTTGTCCCCCGCCCCCACGCTCCGGCAGTTTGTGCCTGGGAGAGTCCCAAACAACACTCTTAAAGCCAATAAACCCAGAATGTCAGCACTTCTCAAACCGTGCGATGTCCTGTCGCTTCTGGAGAGCAAATTGACCCGGGGTGGATTTGGATCGGCTTCCCGGGAGAGGCTCTAAAGCTTTCAAAATTGCTAAGTCAGGAGACAACTGGTTATTTTCCTAGCACCTTTGCAGGCTGAGGACTTCATCTTTCTCAGACGCCCCCAGCCCAGGGACATTAACCCATTGCTCAGATGGAGGACGTGGAGCAGGGAGGTAACTGTGACTCTTGCAGACTTCGTCTTTCTCATTTGGTGACTTTCAGTCTTCTGAATAGATCTCTATTCCTTGTTTTCAGTTCTTACTTGATTTCTTCGTGTTTGCTTGTTTGGTTTGAGCAACAGAGTGAAATACCAGCTTAGAATTACAGCCAGGTAGCTATCAAAAATGAAACTGTCTTTGTGAAAATCTGTAACTGTAGCTATGCAATTGGACACATTCATGAAAAAGGATATTGCATAGGTGAAAGTGATTTTGCAATTGCTTCCATATTTTTAAATAATTTTTTGAAATTGTCGAGAGTTTTCCTCAGTACAACAACTGAATCTTTTAACTTGGAAAGTTCAGTATAACCTTAGTCGCTGGAGGACTAGAGTTATCATAAATAGCCTTTTATGAAAGCGACTGAAATGCATCTCTTTAAAAAAAAAAAGTCTCTGAAGTTGTACACTTCCTACCCTTTCAAAATAGACTTTCTTGAAACTTGAAAATGGTTCCCATGAACTTTTTGTTGGAAAAATTTCACATTAAACGTAATGTTTCTGGGACTCTTAAAAAATTAAAAAGGAGGTGGAACTGGAACTTAGCCTTCACAACCATCAATTTTCCTGCCAGATTCTTTGAAGTGGGAAGCATTTCTCTGTGTGCCCACACCTTACTCTTCGATCTGGAAGTTTTCATAGGAGGAAGTTTGCGTTCCTGAAGAACCCTGCTCTACAGCAAACCCTAACATGATGTAAGTGTAAGCATCCCAGCCCTACCTGGATGGTCAGAATTTTAGATGTGAAATCCCAGCGAACGTTTGGGGGACAGTGAGAAAAGATTTTTAAAGTTCTGACCAGATTCAAGGAGGTGAAAGACAAAGTTCAAAATAGTCCCTAGTTTTTGCTGGTATCTTGAGATAAGAGAGGTTTTAAGATCGGAATTGTCCAAAGTGTGTACTCCTCATTTTCAGTCTGAGTAAGTGAGAGCTTACTAAATAAAAAACTGTTTACTCTGGTTTTGAACAACTGGAATGAATGCTATTTAATCCAAATTCTCTTACTTTGATTTTGTTCTTTAGCATCAAGATTTTCAAATTAAAGAGGTCTTCTGTTCCTCCCTAAGTTTTATGGTTTTCCCTTTTAACTTTATCCCTGTACTAGCTCTCTCTCTGCTTGTAGTTCTCCTTATTTACTCTCTGGACCATTTAAAATTTCTATAAAGATGATTTACATTACTGATCAAGTTTTCAAATCAGTTTCAAAAGTAACTGATCACCAACAGAATATTGTTTAACCAGGGAACAAACCCCAGTCATTCCCAGGAAGTGACGATGTTACATAACAGGTAATGTAGAGCAAAAACATCGGAGTTCTCTTTTTTTTCCCCCAAATGCATGTTTTAAAATCAGAAATAGCAGCTTAATTACTGTAATAGAAATATAAATTGGAAGTCTCCTGTGCATATTCAGGCCAGGATTCTTTTCCATTAGATACACAATAAAACCATCCCAAAGTTTGTGACTAACTCTGAATGTTAATTCCTATGACTAACAATCTGTCTCCCTCCTTTGTAGAGAAGCCTCACCTTAGAGGAAAATGGAAGAGTTGGAGACGCACAGTGACTACTGATACGAAGGAATTCTCTTGTTGACAAAAGTGAGAGAAACTCCAGCAGCACAAATCAGTGTTTCCATGTCCCAAGATGCAAGGAGAGAATTTGGAATGGGAGGGAAAACAACAGCAGGAAATGAAATGCTTGCCTAGAGAATTCTAAGCAAATCAGTCACTAGTCCAAGCAGGAGTTTTTGTGTGTTTTTTTTTTAATATTCACTTCCAATTTGTTTTACTCAATTCAGAAATTTTTCCCAAGGGGAGGTGGTCAGGAAAAAAAAAAACCATTAACAGGAAGATGAATTGGGCCACAACTTCTGAATGGTTTGCAGCGCTAATGGAGATGGTGGAAGTTCAGTTCTAGGAATGAAAGAAAACCGTGGCTCACATTCTGTTTTCCATCTGTGTGGTAGATTTTAAGCTGGGTATTCTATAAGGCTTCACTTGGCTGAAGAACAACTGTGGCCCTGAATTTTCATTTATTTTTTTTTAAATGAAAGGATATTTGTTGTCTTTCCAAAATGTTGACATTTTAAATCATTCTTACTTTGCAACTGACTTGGATTTTGTTTTAAAACGCATATTAGGCAATCTCTACGTATCATATTTTGCTGCAAAAAAAAAAAAAATAGGAAGGTACTGACTGGGAATCAAATGGATTATTGGTTTCACTCTTCAGCTATCCCTAACTGGTACTTATAAAACAACAGTTTTCTCTTGAACAAAGGTAGAATTTTACTGATGATATGAAGTATGCTAGTCTGAACAGCAGCCATAAAACGGGTGGGGATGAAGATGGGTTAGGGTAGCAGGGAGACCTCAGCTAATAACAAAGAGTGGCACAGTGATTATATTTCTATGGGAAGCCTGTTTGTCTAGTGGCTGATGAAATTCAAAATGGTCCCCTAAGCCTGTATCTGAATCCAGCAGTTGAACATTGTAGAACCAGTAACTCACTTAATCCAGGTACCCTGCCCCCTGCCTACCCAGTGACCCCCCCTTACACACATCACACACACACACACACACACACACACACACACACACACACACACACACACGCACACCTCCAAAATCAGTGATTTTGCTAACTGACTGGAAGCTGCTAGGAGGGGCGAGGTTGGGGGGCGGAGCTGGAGGAAAAAACCTAGTAGTTCAACCTCTTGTTTGTTTTTGCCTCAGCATTTCCCTACCAGCGGGAGACCATTACCCTGGACAATGTTCTATTCCATTGTCATTATCTCCTACGGAACTAAAACAATGCTCTGTTTGGCCTCCCAGGTGAGGGAGATTTGTTCTGCTCTTGCTTAGGCAGAGTTTCCAACCGAGCTTCTGACCCAGTCACTTGGTATCCAACTGAGATGCCTGGTGACAATTTTTTTAAAACTCTGCAATCTTATGTTTTGTAATTTCATTCTCTGAGAAATAGCCCAGAAACTCGATTCTCAATCAAGAAGAATCACACCATGGCAAAGGAAGAGGGTCTGCTTAAGCTGCATGAGTTCTGTAATTTAAATCAGCCAGATAGGATTTATTTATAGTTGTCTCATTTTTGTTTTGTTTTGTGCTATTGAATAGCAAACCCTAAAAGGGTTCATAATATTGTGTTGTTGAGTGCTAGACCCCAAAAGATTAGAAATCACAGGCTCTCAGCTATTTCCCATTAGACCACGTTTCCTTTCTCTTTAAAGACATTAATAAATTCGATAGATGATACACAGATAGATAAATGACGTCAAAATGTCTAACATTCATGACAAATGAACAACAACTCTTCAAAGGTTTTGCAAGCTGCTCAGAAATCTTCCAAAAAAGCAAAATAAGTCCACAGCCCTTTTACAGTCAATATCCCTCCTTACAAGCTCCTACGGAGGCCTCCAACCTTAGTGCTTTTCACCTGGAAAAACATTCCCTAACTAGCTAATACGGTAGTACTAGCCGCAGAGATCCTTGTTTGTCCTGAAGCAAAGGAGTCAGTAAGACAGACGTTTTACCCTTGAACTTGAGGTGAACTAATTTTCAGCATTGCTCCAGTTGTTGCTATCACTTTATTACTCCTGTTTAGCTATGAGTAACTTGAGAAGTCCAAATGTAACAGCTGCATATAATAAAAGTGTCATTGGCTGAGACAGGCTACCTGAGGAGATTGAGCTGCAGGCTAATGAGGCCAAGGTCTCATGCTTATTGGCTTCTCTGTAGGATGGTAAGGTCAGACATACCCCTAGATGGCTAGTGGATGAAACAGCTCAGGCCCTTTGGAAATCAGGAAAGCCAGTGGGGTAGACGAGATGGCTTAAGACTTGAGGCTCAGGAAGCAGGCAGGCCTATGTTTATATGCTCCTTCTCCCCCTGGCTTTCTCTGTAACTCTGAGCAGGTAACTAACTACTTTGAATGTCTGTTGCCTTATCTGTAAGATTAAGGAAAACAAAAGTAACAGTTCTCCCTTATTGGCTGAAATGTTTAAATGACAGTGTTTATAAAAAATATTCAAACATGACGGTTAGTGATCACTGTTGTGATTTGTTATACGTGAACAGAAACTTACTGAGGATGTCAACCCTGGAGTTCATGTCAGTCCATCCTTCTTACTGGAATGTTGACACTGCAGTTGCTGTGATTATACATTCCACTCTTAGGTCTCAGGAGGCTCACTGCCACATCCCATTTAGTTGGTCTGCTTGGATACATTCTCCAAGTCACAGTAGTCTTCACAGTTATGATGATTCTTTCATGATAGAAGTCCTGATACCTTTTGAAGCCATACTTTTAGAAGCAGGAACAAACTGGAATGTACATGTTTCATGCAAGTCTAAGAGGCTGAGATCATGGGGGACAACGTATGTAATTTTTCTTTGAGGACACCAGATATGTGTCACAAGGAATTTCTTAAATTGGGGAAACATTCTTTTCAAGTAAATATCAGCTATGTGAGCTGACTGGTGGCTTATAAGACATTCTGGCTTCACCAATGCTGCACTAAGACTCAAAGAAACCTATGAACAGCTCCCTTCCAGTTTGGTGTAAAGTTGTAGCTATCTTTAACTCCCTTTCCCTAGTGCACTATAGTGCTAAATTTACTAACTCTGAAATGCTCTACAGTACTTAGAGTTACGTTTTTTATGACATTATACTGGTTGGTTGTAATATTGTAGCAGAATACACACACACACACACACACACACACACACACACACACCCAACCAGTATACTTCAGTTTGTCAGTTGCCCAGGTAACAGTTCTGGTTACAGTTCCTATTACTTTTGTTTCTTAGAAACAAAATCACTATGATGCCTATTGTAAGAGTTAATCCCAACTGACCAGCCATTCTGCTTCTAAACTGCCTGCTTGTTTATCCCATATGAGCCCTAGAGCACCATAGATGAGGGCCTGATATTTGGGGAATGATTCTGACCCACGCCCATTGACATAAATATATCTGCCTTCAAATCCTGGGTGTCACTTCAACGTTTCTGTTTGCCATAGCAATATGATCACAGTGTATATCACTAGACATATGTTAGATTTGCAGATAAATCCAGGATTATGTCAACAAATGGCCTGGATAACCCTGCGTTTTCTTCTATTGTTCTGAAAGTTTCTTTGTTTTGCCTTTTTAAACTTCAGAGGCTTGGTTTGTAAGTGCCATTTGTGTCTAGTGTGGTCCACCACAGGTTCTGACCCATGCGGATCAGAGTCTTAGTCCAGCACCAGTGAAGCCAGAAGTTCTTCCTCTCATGGTTACTCAGCTAGACATCATTTATCTTAGTCTTTTTCTCAGATCCAATTCTTATACCTTCTATTTTTTGTTATCTGGGGCTGCAGGGATCTCCCATTGCGTGGGTTGCTTGTCATTGTTCCTTGTACTAATGCCTGAGCTCTGTAACCTTGCCATAGCATTTATGCATTCAGGGGCTGGATCCCTGCTCTCAAGAACCATGGTCTAGTTAGATGTCAGCAGAAATTTTCTTTGGGGCAACTCCAAATCAACTATACAAAAAGGAAGAAGTATAATAAATCATGAAACACAGAAAAATGACCGAATTGTCATTAAAATTTAAAAGGGCACTGGAGGTGATAAATGCTTTACTCAGCAGCATGGTCACATGGAGCCATTGGTTATGGGAGGGAGGGGTTACAATAGGAGCAGGTGCACAAAGAATCTTGGATCGTGTTTTGTGCTCTGCAGCTTATGCTCAATGGTGGTTATACTAATGCTCATTTTATACAGTTGGACATATACAGCAAATATTACTATGTATGCATAAATATGTATAGACAGACAGCTGGATAAATGAGTGAATAGATATGGTTTAGGTACTGAGTCTTAACAGTTTTCTTTTAGATTAAAAAAAAAAAAAAACTGAAGTCCACTGTGTATGGTGCTACATGCCAGTAAACCCACCTACCCAAGAGGCTAAGGCAGAAGGATCACAGATTCAAGGCCAGCCTGAGCATCTTAGTGAGGCTCTGTTTTACAAAATACAAAGGGGTAGTGATGGGGATTTAGCTCAGTGCAAAGGCCTTGGGTTTAATTTCCAGCACTGAAAACAAAACAAGCAAAAACTACTGAGGTCTACAGAAGAGAATGATTCCCTAAAATAAAAGCATCCTTTCTTTAGCTAAACCAGTGCTATACTTTTTCATTTCCTCTTCCCTTCCATTTGTATTTCCACTATCTGCTGTAAATCTTGTGGTCATCCTGAATCCTCCTCTTCCATCATGTGGCAAATCCTGCCATGTCTACCTTCTAACTTTACTGCTGTGAATGTTGTAGGTATGAATATACGTTCCCCCCAAATCTCCTGACTCCTGACAGAAGACCAAGCAAAGAGTGGTGACCAAGCATAGGTCCAGGTTTCCTGGTTGGGGCTTACCCCAGAGAGTACCGTATTTATCCACATAGAGAACAGAAAAATCTATGCATCTCTGATGCACATTTCATGAGGCATTTATGTTAAAACATTCTAAGAGTGTGACATGTTCTTTATACATACATGTATGCAGAGGAAGGTGGAGACACACATTTCTACAGCTCTTGCTCCACATAATAGACTTCTCTCAGTTCCCTCAGTGTTTCCTCTAAATCTCCAATAGATCATCCACTTACTGTGGTGCAATGGAACATTATCAATCTACCTCACTCTCCTTACTAAATGGAAATCCTTTGATGGTAAAAGGTGATACCAAGGCATCCTCATACCGCTAGAGAGCTGAGGTCCCAATGGAGCAGAATATACACTTTAGGTGTGGCGTACAGATCCGAAATAAACCACTACTGTCACCTTCATTCTTGCTTTGTGCCTTTCCCATGGATGGAAGGCATCTGTGACTCATTCACCCATCTTTGAATGTCCAAGTTGAGTTCAAGACGATCCATTCCACACTCTCAGCCTGGGCCACAAAGTCAAGCCCTCCAGGCTGCCCCAATCCATTGACATTTTAATGAAAGACGGGAACTGTCATTGTCATTTGGCTTCTGTCTGGATGTTCCCTAAAGCCTCTTGGGATCATAGGTGGGACTTTTCAGAGGTGGCTGGATCTAGGTTTTATAA